TTCACGACTGTGGTGATAGCCGTTTAAGAGATGATTGACAGCTCAGGGAGAATGTTGTATGCCGCAAGATGTATGTGTGCGTCTGCTGAAGGAGGTAGCAAGGGCACCAGATTCCTATTTACTGATGAACCAAAGACATTCAGATGAAAATATCAATGCATTGGAATACTATTATTTTATAAGACACATGTCTGCAGAAAACACTATCTTTAATGAAATGGTGTCCCATTTCTAAACTGCCAAGTGGGCTGATGAGCAACCTTCTATTCTGACCATCAATTACATGTGTTGCATTCCTGGCACTCAGCAGGATTGTTCTTATCTCGTGTTCATAGTGTGCCAGCATCACGTGAATGTTATCTGACCAGGAAACCAGATATGTTCCATTATGTGCTTGCATCTGTTATGTGAAACCTTTTACCTGTTTCTAGAGAAAAGGGAACAGGCATAGGACTTTGGACTTAAAGCAGTGTGATGAAATGGTATCATCTGAACTCCACAATTCCGTGACAGAGGAAATGAGTCATTCCAAACAGAGGTTGCCAAGGCTAGAAAAGGAAATAAAAGAAAGAAGATTCCTGTCTAAGCCCAAGTCACCTTGAACAGCACAGCAGAAAATTGTAAACAAAAAACAATGGCTTTTTGTCTAAATGTTTTCAAGCTTAGCACTCTGAGAGTCATTTTCTAGAGCTCAGCCATGATCCTCCAACATTTACCATTCTCTAGTCTCTAAAAAGACAGCAGGGTGGTGCAGTGGATAGAGTGCTGAGCCTGGAGTCAGAAAGACTCCTCTTCATGAGTTCAAATCCAATCTCAGACACTTGTGACCTTGGGCAAGTCACTTAACCCTGTTCGCCTCAGTTTCCTCACCTTTAAAATGAGCTAGAGAAGGAAATGGTAAACTACTCCCATATCTTTGCTGAAAATCCTAAATGGCGTCACAGAGAGTCAGACATGACTGAAATGACTAAAGAACAACAAAAAAGTCTCTAGAAATCAGGGCAACAGATTCTTCCAGTGTAATAGCTGTATCCTGATCCCCATGTTAGGCATTTTTTTTTAACAGACCTATGCAGTCAGGCATCTATTAGCCTCCAAAACAAACACACAATAATGTTACTTGTAATCTGCTTTGGTGAGACTTTCCTTGAAGTTCTGTGTTTACTTCCGGTCTTTTAAGAAGAGCATTGATAACTAGAGTGCATATGTAGGAGGGGGGCAGGTTGGCAGAGGAACTCAGGACCATACCCTATAAGCATTTATAATGAACAAGGGCAAATGGGACTTTGAGCCAGGCTACCTGTATGAGGTGGGGTACACTTCCTGCCTATGGTGACTGCCATGCCCACTCCTTGCCTCACAATTCTTTATCTGTCTTTTGCACATCTCATCTTCATTCTTCTATCCTCACAGACCTGCAGGAGTATATTACCAACTAGTATCCTGGTAGAAGTGCTTGAGCAGATAAGTCATTTTTAAACCTCAGGCCTTACCTACCAGTGTCCTCTCTGACTCGAGTATGCAAACTTTACCTCAGAAAAGACGCAGCCTCAGTTTGGAGAATTATCAGACTGAAGAGACCAAATGATGAATTCAACACAACTGTGGCTGCTACTGCTTAAAAAAGAGAATATCTCTGGAGCATACATTCACTAACTAATTCATTCATTAATAAGTATTTTCTGGACATCCTCAGGGTCATAAGACTTAAAAAAGGGGGGCCTTGGCAATCAGCTAATTCAATCTTCTCATTTTGTCAGAAGGAGAGACTGAGGCCCAGACAGGAGAAATGATTTACCCAAGGGTTCCAGATGTAGTAAAAATAACAGAGCTGGTATTGGAATAGAGGCCTACCATCTTGCCTCTTGCAGCCTTTACAGAGATGTTATCTCCATTTTACAGATGGGGACAGTAGGACCCAGGAAGAGAAGGGGGTTTGCTTAACATACAGCTACTTCATGAAGCCTTGACCTATGGCTGCCTGGAGGGAGGATTAGAACCAGGAGTGTGTTGAAGCCAGCTCAAACAGGCTCTATTGGAGAACTGGTTGTTAAATTTTCAGTGAAACCATTTGCTCCTCAGAAATTGCAAATACTACAAAATCAGGGCTTGGTTATTATTTTGTTGATTGTCTAGACTTAAGAAAAAGATGGAGAAAATGTTGATAATGCAGATTAAATTTAAAAGTGTGTCCAGCACACATTCTCCACTTCTCCCCATCCCTCCACCCCCAGAGCTGGTTGTTAAACATTTACCAGCACATCCCTGATTAGACCCCAGATTTCCTACCTTCCAGTGCGGTGTGATTTCTACTTTGCCACACTGCTTAGTCTTTTTCATGTTTATGCTGTGGAACCATCTTTCAGAGGAGAATATTTTGATAGCTATCCTGGTATGTGCAGAAATAAATCCTTGGGTACAATAGATAGTGATTCAATGAGGCTACAGGTTCATTTACCTTGCTTTTATCTGTACTTACTACGTTCAAGACACACAAACTGTGACCAAGAACATGAACAATGACTAATATTGATAAACTTAACCCTTCCCAGCAATACAAGGATCTCAGACATCCCCAAAGGCCTCGTGATGGAAAATGCTATCCACATCCAAAGAAAAAACTATGTAATTTGAATGCAGATCAAAGCACACCATTTGCTATTTTTTTCTCTTCTGTTGAATTTTGTTTCCTGTTTCTGGTGGTTCTTCCTATTGGTTCTAACTCATACAACATCACTAACGTGAAAATATGTTTAATAGGAATGTATATGTATAGCCTATATCAGATAGTGTGCTGTCTTGGGGAGGGTGGGAGGAAGGGGGAGAAAAATTTTAAACTCAAAAGCATGTGGAAGTGATTGTTGACAAATCAAAATAAATTAATAAAAAAAGAACATGAACAAAAATAACCACACGTCTGAGTAGGGATAACTTTATGCAGCACTAGCAGCTGAAGTTGAAAGAGATATGAATGCTGGAACAGATCAACTAAATACATTTTCATCTAGCAATCTTTTATCTATAAACTGTAAGGTTGGTGCCAGATTTCTTGTTTTTAATTTATTTAAAATTTTAGCTGTGTTTTGCAGGCTAATCCAATCTAATACACTTACATAGAGGAGTATAAGAGACCTAACTTCTTGTTCCTGTGGCTTTTCCCCCAACTCTGTCAACTAATCCCAACATGACAAGGCTGTCAGAGGAGTCCAAGAGGCAATTAGGTGGTACAATGGATAGAGCGCTAGGCCTGGAGTTAGGAAGACTTGTGTTCAAATCCAACCTCAGACACTTTTTAGCTGTGTGACCTTGGGCAAGTCAACCAATTTTTGTTTGCCTCATCTGTAAAATGGGGATAATAATAGTACCTACCTCACAGGATTTTTGTGAGGATCAAATGAGATAATATGTGCAAAGTCCTTAGCACAGTGCCTGGCACATGTGCTATAGCACATAGTAGGTGCTAGATGATGATGATGATGATGATGATGATTATACGAGTAGATTCATGAACTTTGCTGCATTTCACCAATGGCTGGGGAGGGAGGCACCAAGGTGAGTTAAAGATATTGTGAGTCCATATATGATAACATCTGTGCTTCTTGTTTCTACATTGTCAAGCAAAGAGGAAAAGTAAGGCTACTGGCTTAGAGCTAGAAGTGACCTTAAAGACCATCTTGTCCAAATGAGGAAAATTAGGTGAGGTAGGGGGGGCTTGCATCCTCCTCCTCCTCCTGCTCCTCCTCCTCATCATCCTCCTCCTCCTCCTCCTTCTCCTCATCATCCTCCTCCTCCTCCTCCTCCTCCTCCTCCTTCTTCTTCCTTCTAAGCCACGCCCCCTCCCTTTAGCTCTGCTTTATACGTTTTATTTCCCCATTGGAATATAAATTCATTGAGGGCAAGAACTATCTCTTTTGCTTGTATTTGTATTCCCAGCTCTTAGCACCTTTGAGATCATCAAGTCATCTAAGCATGAGGTGTGAGAGGTAGCTAATAGAAAGAACTGCCTCACAGACTGGCATGTAGAAGGCATAGAAATGAATTTTTAAACATTTCCTTCTTTGACCTTCTGGATAGGGTAGGGCTGTCTGTCTGCAGAAATCTGGAAACTAATAAATAATGTATCCAGAGAAGTCTACAAATCAAGAAAGGCCACCTTTTGCATATCCATTGGATTACTAAATGAAACTCCCAGTTCTAACCAAAGAATTTGACTGAAAAGGTGTGTATTAAGCACCACCTATGCCCAGGACACTGTGCTATGTTCTGGGGACAATCTCTACACTTAGAGAGTTTGCATTCTACTGATTTTAAATCCCGGAGGATTATATCAGACATGTCCACGATACAAAGTGGAACTGGAATGACATGTAAACATACAGTCCTTTTGCCCTATGTCCATTCAGAATATAATAGCTTCACCGTGACAAAGTTAATTAGTACTAATGGATCTGTTGCCAATCCATAGAGGAAATATGAACTGTGGACAACAGATTGCAATGGGAATCAAAACACTTGAGTTTATTAAACACCTACTATGTGCATAGCTTTGTACTATAGGTTATTTTTAATTTCCCCAAGAACTTGCTTTTTGTGTCCTTTGGACAAGGAGGCAGTGCAGTCTAGTGGAAAAAGCCCTGAGTTTGGAGTTGAGAAAACTAGGTTTGAGAATGGTTTCTGACACTAGCTGTGTGAACTTAGTCAAATTTATTAACCTCTCTGAGCCTCAGCTTTCTCATAGACAAAACAAAAATAATATTTCACTACCTTCCACACTCCTTCAGGGTTGTTGGGGAAAGTACTTTGTAAACTTCAAAGTGCAATATGAATTCGAGTTGGTATTCAATCATGCACTCATACATTCATTTATTCATTCATTCATTCATTCATGCTTGGCACTGGAGGAGATGCAAAATTATATGTAAACTTCTGGAGGGCAAAAATGGTTTCTTTTTTTTATTTCCCATTGTTTTCTTTGTTTCTTTGTTTTCTTTGGTTCCTGATACATAGTAGGTGCTTAAAAAATGCTTGTTAATTGGTAAGATATATTTTTTATCTTCAAACGGTTTCAGTCTAGTAGCATAAGATATGTGTGTATAAGTTTTCCAAATACATAGATGCAGCTCGAGTGACCTGGTTAGATATGATTTGAGGTCTAGGTCTCCTCTGAGGAGAGTAAGAGAAGGGCTTAAGTAAACTGCTACCATGCTAGCTGGAAGAGGGGAAGGCAGGGTCCAGGACTGCTGTGGTGGCAAGCCCTCCTATCTCCAGGACAGGTGTTGGGCTAGAATCATATCTACCTGTCATCCCTCAAATCTCTCTGTTCTAGGAATCTGAGTTGGGTTCAGAAGAAAGGTCATTTCCTTTGTTACTCTTAAGGGGAAGACCAGCCTTTAGCTTAAACTCAAGAACCTAGCCCCTTCCCACAGGTTAAACAAATGATTACCCCCAGATAGCGAATATTGAGTAAACACATTTATGCAAGCAAAACAACAAAAAAAAATCAGAGAAATTCTACAAAAGAACACAGAGCAAGTTTAGCAAGGAGTTCAATAAGATCTCAGTTTGGACTAGGAGAAGGTGAGCAATCTCACCCAGGGGAGGTCCTGTCTCAGCCATCTCTACTATCTCAAACCTAAAGGTCAAGAAGCATGATGGGGTCAGTCCTCCTACACATCTGAGATTCCAACTGCTCTAGTCTGTCATTCAAAAATCTCTCTTCTTTCTTCATATCTCTCTTCAAAGAATCTTGGGAACCAATTATAGTAGCATTGCATTCAGCATTTTCTCAGCCATTAGGAGCCACGTCTCCCTTCATGTACTCATCAGCATAACATACAAAGCACATACAAAACAACTTCAGTCTTGGTTTGAATCCAGGTTATGGCACTAAGATAAAACACAAACACAGATACGTAGAATATACAATATTATGTAAGTACGTTAGAAATCTAGTTACAAATTTAAGTGTCTTGTGAGATCAGAGGGAAAATATTGTTACTAACAGGAATGTGTGTGTATGTGTGTGTGTGTGTGTGTGCATGCGTGTGTGTGCACATGCGTGCCTGTGCATGTGTGAGTGCAGAAGAGGAACCAGGGAAGGCTTCCTAGATGAGAAAATACTTGAATTGAGTTCCAAAGGATGGCAAAGTGAGACAGGGAGGACTTTTCAAGATAGAGAACAATGTGAGTTATGGTGTGGAAAAAGGAAAGCATAGAGTGTGTTCAGAGGTAGAAGGAGTAAGAAAGAAGAGAAAGGCAGTAAGGTTTTACCACTTAAGGCTCAGCAATCCAAAATAGTTCTAGTAACCCGGCCCTTGTGCCATGTCTCTTGCTCATGCTTTTATTTCATAGAGATTGTTCCACATTCTAAGATTCTCGTGGCTGGCTCTCTCCTTTCAAGGTTTCCCAGGTTGTTCCTCTCAATCCCTGGTCACTTTGTTCACGTCTCCACATGTACCCTCGTACCCTCATGTTCATCTCAGAGTATGTTTTCTCACTCCCCTGGGGACTTCATCTGCTCCTTCCTTCTACTGAGAGGATGGGTCTATGAATCACATCAATCCTCTTTCAACAACCCTTTGGTCAGGGCAAATTCTCAGGAGACTGAATGATTGAATACAGGGGATTTCCACCCTTCATCAGGAATTATCTCCAACATCTGATTACACGACAAGCACAAAATATTCAAACTAAGAAGGGATTTTACCAATCATACAATCCAACCAGTAGAATATTATTAGCCCCTTGAGGGTAGCGACTATTTTATTTTATGGTACTTGTAAGTCTTAATACAGTGCCTTTCATATAATAGGAACTTAACAAGTACATATTGAATTGAATGAATGAATGAATTTGGTGTTTATATCTCCCAACACAATGCCTTTCATATAATAGTAACTTAACAAGTACTTACTGAATGAATGAATGAATTTGGTATTTCTATCTCCTAACACAATGCCTTTCATATAATAATAATAACTTAAAAATAGTACTTATTGAATGAATGAATGAATTTGGAATTTAAATCTATCTCCAAACACAATGCCTTTCATATAATAGTAACTTCAAAAGTACTTATCAGATGAATGAATAAATGAACACCTTCATTTTTTAGATGAGGAAGTTGAGGTCCACAGAGGAGAAAATGGTTAGCCATTTCCTTCTCTGTGGACCTCAGCTGTTTCATCTAGATAATGAAGGTGTTTACTAACCTCAGTTAATTAAAAATTCCATAAAATGAGACTGTGTAACACAGGGCTGGTGCTGCCCCATCCATTCTCACTGCCTGTAATACTTCATTGTCATAACAAAACTGATACACACAGGTGAAGGCAGAGATGGGGATAGATGGAAACTTGGAGGGGGTTGTTCTTAAGTCATCTGCAAAGTTGGGTATAGAAAGCAACCGCTGTGTGTGGGAAGCCCATTTGAGTGAGAGAGATGAAGGACAGAGAGTTTGCAGGGATTAACACTAGATTTGTGCTCAGGACACCTCAGCTTGAATGTCAGCTCTGACACTGTGTGATCATAAGCAAGTCACAGAATTTCAGAGTTGGGAGGAACTTCAGAAACCATCTAGTCCAACCAGTGCTTGACCAATAATTCAGTTCCTAACATTCACTCAATCAAATTCAGCAAGCAATTGAATTGTGCAAAGCACTGGGCTAGATACCAGGGTTATAAAGTCAAAGAAACAGCTTCTGCCTACAAGAAGTTTACATTATACCGAGGTGGGGAAAGACACAACAACATATAAGCAGGGAAATTAATACAAGGTAGTTTAAAGAAGGAGAGATCACTAATTCAGGGGGGTTCTGGAGGAGGTATCCTTTGGGGTGAGCCTTGAAGGAAGTTAAGGATCCTTCAGGGCAGAGATGATGAGGGAGAAGCCTGTGGAAAGGCATCTATTACATATCAGCTTTACAAATATTGTTTCATTTGATCCTCACAAAAACCCCGAGAGGCAGGTTGCTATAATTATCCCTATTTTACAGATGAGAAAACTAAGGCAAATAGAAGGTACGTGACTTGCCCAAAGTGCCATAGCTAGTAAGTATATGGAAGGTATATGGAAACTGGGCAGTCTGCTTTGGTTCAGGTGTCCATCTTGGTCAGATGTCCCCTTCTTGAACACATTCCAGATATGTGCCTTTATTTTTCAGACTCTTCATCTATAAAATGGGATAATAACCTTTAAATTATCTCCTTCATAGAATTGTTGTACTGAAAAACATGAGTGTAGAATATCAGAGTGAGCTGGTAGTGATAAAGTGAAGTTGGGAAAAACAGCAAGTAAACCAGAAGAGATTGACCCACACTAATACACACGACAGCAGCCATAGCAGCAGCAGCAACAGCAACAACAACAATAACATAAAAACTCATAGGTAGATGAACAGCTCGGACGGTAAGTAGCAGGTGGTTGAGTTCTCAGTGTGCTGGATCTGGGGGCTGAAGCTCCGAATCGGAAATGTGGCTTTGTCTTTTTCTGCTTGTTTGTGGGCAAGTCACTTAACCTCTGTGGGCACCTTCTGAAAAAATGAGGAGCTTGGATTTGATCTTCAGGGACCCCTTTCAATATGTAAATCTCTCTGCAATGGAGATATTAGGTCTTGGGAACTTTAGGGGCAACATACCAGGAGAAGGTCATACGGTTATTGGTTGGAGGGGACCACCTCATTTTATGGATGATATACCTACAGCTGAAGGAGGTTGAGAACTTACCTGCTGATATGTGTTAGATTATTCTTTATCTATTTGTTCAGTATATCAGGAATGGTTAGATATTTTCATACAATGCTCCACGTTTTTCTTCCTTGAACACTCCTCCCACCTTTCTCCCGTTTTTATTGATATCTTGTTTACATCACCTTCATCTCTGGACATATCCCTCCCTTTTCCCTACTCTGCTAACCATTTTTAAGGACAACATGTTTAAAGAAAGAGAAAAAGCCATTCAGCAAAATCAATCAACCCATCAAATATGTCTGATTGTACATATGCATTCTGTACCCATAGTCCCTCACTTCTGTATAAAGAAGTGGGGAGGGAAGAGATGCATTTTCTCACCTTTATAATTGCACAGTATTTGGCTTTACTTTATTTTCTTCCCATTTACATATTTGTGGTCATTGTGCAAATTATTTTCCTGGTGATGTATTTTAATCTGTATCACTTTTACAAATCTTCCCGTGCTTCTCTAAATTCTTCATCTTTTTCCTTTCTTATGATACAGTAATATTCCATTACAGTTTTGTACCACTACTTACTTAACCATTCCCCAATTAATGAACATTTACTTTACATCCAGTTCTTTGCTACCACAAAAAGTCCTGCTCTAAAGATGAGAGTATATTAAATCTTTTATTCCATCTTTGATTTCCTTGAGCTATATGCCTAGCAGAAAATGGCGTGGACATTTTATTTATTATTTTAGTATAATTTAAAAATGCTTACTGAAATGCTCTAGCAACAGTGTTTTAGCGTGCTGGTCTTTCCACAGTCCTTCCAACACTGATCACTTCTGTCTTTCGTCATCTTTACCAATTTGCTGAGTATGAGATGAAGCCTTGGAGTTTTTTGTTTTGTATTTCTCTTGCCCTCTACCCTCTTTTAAATAAGTTTGTATCCTGGCCCAGAAAAAAATGTCACCAGACGTTCACCATCGACTCCCTGCCTATACCTTTCCTGCCTACCTTTGTGCTCTAGGATGCTGATATGGAGCAAGAGCTCGATTGAGGCTCTGCTTTGACTTGAGACATCTGGCCCTGCTGAGAGATTTGGTGCACTGAGCACTTTCTTGAGTTTGGTCCAAGTTCTTTTTGTGGAGGACGGCGTTTTGGCCTCAGGTCATCAAGCTTGCACTGCTGGCTCCATTGATCATTTCTAAATGCAAAAATGAAGGAAGGCAGCAGATGTGAGAGGGTTAATAACCTTAAGGTATACTGACCTCCCTGAAACCTACTAGTCCCAAGATACCGCACCACTGAGAAGCCTGCCTTTTATTTTTTCAGCTTTCTGTACTTTGTCTGTGTTCAGGCATGTATGTTGGGTTAGGCAGCAAATGGGGGAATTCCCTGTGTGTTTTGAAGTCAGCGGAGAGAATTTTACAAGCAAATTCTTCCAAGATGCCCAAGGGCAGATGTACATATTCCCAATTGGTTCTGATAACTCAGAGTTGTACATTCCACAGAGGAAGCTAAAGCCGTCTGCACCAAAGGGTAGTGGTGGGGAGCGGAGAGGAATGGGGAATGTGCCCTTGTGAATTTAATGTCAGTTGTTTGAGAACAGATTTCTTCTCGGCCAGCCCAAGACCTTGGACCCAAGGGGCTCTGCTTGACTGATTTGTAACCCTCCTCAAATTCCAACTTCTAATCTTTTACAGATCTCAGAATGTACAGACAAAGCTCTCACATGCTTCAAAGAGCAGCTTTGGAATATTGCGGGCATTGTGTTTTACATTCATCCCTTGATTGCTTAAACTTTCTTCCTCAGAGATCCAAAATGTATTCAAATTCTAGTTCTTTAATCAGCATTCTTCTAGACTCTGTAAAACTTTCCATAGCGAAATCTGTTTTAGATAGCAAGCTGTGGGTCTCATACACAAAATGTCTGAAAGTTGTTGGTTGGCTGGATCTCCTCACTTAAGGATGCATGTGAATAAATGAGATGCAAAATGAAGAGTGTCAGCCAAGGTAGAAAAAGAATGCTTAGGTAAAATAGAAAAAGTGAGGGAATAAATGACAATCTTGGGGATTTGGTCTAGTCAAATCAAGTCAAGTCAACAAGCATTTATTAATACCTACTTTTTGTTTTGCTTTGATTTTTTGATATATTTTGATAAATTGGATTTAAGTGAGGCAGAGTTGGGCAAAGTTGTCAGCCTCACTCTCTCTTCCAGAGTCATTGGATTCCAGGAGCAAGACCAAGTCAAAATGACTGGTGATGGCTTGGGATCCAGTGGATGACCTTGGTGGCTTCGATGGCTAACCAAGCTCTAAGTGCTCCACAGCACCTGCTTCAGCTGCCTTCGTGGCCGTTGGAACAAATTGTTCTCATCTGCCTATTCTGCTGAGGGAAGTCTTCACATGCTTGGGACAGACATCCCCCTCCCCCCAACTCACCCAAGAATTTGGGACTCTTTTGGTTACCCTCAACATGGTTATCCCAGCTACCAAAATGGTTTACTGGGTTGTGGCCACTGGGCATGCTACAGCTTCTTGGAGCCACAAGTGAGAGTTAGGTGAATCAAGCGGACACCAAAGTTGGCTTTTTTTTTTTTTTTTTGGTGAGGCATTCGGGGTTAAGTGGCTTACCCAAGGTCACACAACTACTAAGTGTCACCTAGCTGCCCCTGGACACCAAAGTTGGAAAGCAGCCCTCACACCTGAGGAGCTAGTTACTCTTCCCTGAATACACCCTACACACCAAGTACCTACTATGTGCCAACATTGTACTAAGGATACAAAGAAAGAGGAAAAAAAAACAACTCTAGTCCCTGCTCTCAAGATGTTCGCATTCTAATGAGAGAAATGACATGCAAATGACTTTGTACAACCAAGATAAATACGGGGTAAATTGGAGGTAGTATCAGAGAGGAAGCACTAATATTAAGGAAGACCAGGAAAGATTGTTGAGAAGGTATCTCAGACTTGAAGAATGTCAGGGAAACCCGGAGGTAGAGATGAAGAGAAAGAGACTTCCAGGCATAGGGGACAGCCAGTGAAAATGGGTGACCATTACACCATTGTTATTTTTGTTATTATTCTTGCTTTTAAAGTTCATTAGATTCCAAATGTGGTGTAGTGGAAAAAACATTGACTCTGGACTCCAAGGAACAAGGTTTGTCCTCCAAAATTTGCTATTTGTCACTTGTGGAAAGAGAAGTTCAAGCTAGACAGACTCTGAGGTCACAGCTAGCCTTAATTTCTACGAGCCTATGAAATTCTTGGGGAGAAGGGAAATGTTTCCATAGTTTTTTTTTGTAGTTCATAAATTTCAAGTCAACTTTTCCAAAAAATTTAATGGATTTTGAGGCAAAATTAAATTACTCTGTTATCTGTTCTCTGTTCCCCACTAAGAGATGGCATTGGTGAAAATGCATTGCAAACTTTAAAGTGCTATATATAATTTAGCCATATAATATAAATATTTGTGGGTATATCTGCTAGGTGGCACAGGGAATAGAATGCTGGCTATTGTGAGGAAGACTCATCTTCCTGAGTTTAAATCTGGGCTTAGACATTTACTAGCTGTGTGACCCTGGGAAAGTCCCTTAACCTCTGTCTACCTCAGTTCCACATCTGTAAAATGAGCTGGAGAAGAAAATGGTATAATCACTGCAGTATCTTTGCCAAGAAACCCCCAAATGGGGTCCAAAGATTTGGACACGACTGAACAACAACAGCAGACTTGGATTCCAAAGACCTGGATTCTACTCTTGGATCTGCCTCTTACTTGCCAAGTGATAGACCTTGGTCAAGTCACTTAACCTCAGCTTCAGAATGGAGATAATAATAACAAACTTACCTTTTAATTGTTGTATGGATCTGTGATCCTAAGTGAGATAATATGAATGAAGAGTTTTGTAAACCTAACACACGACATAAATGTCAGCTATGATGATAATGGCAAAAACAAGATGAGTGTGGTGACTGCAGTATCAGTCAAGCAGAACTGGACAAAAAGATATTTGGGCTGTTTGTTCAGGGGCCACCTTAATTCATATCCTCAGATCTGAGTTAATGATTTGCTCTCCATTTACTCAGTGTATGAACTTGTCAGGCAGAGCACCCAGGGGACCTGCTCATAGCATCATAACAACAGGCTGTTAATGAGAGTAGGATATTCATGAGCCCTTTTCCTTCCCCAAACCTGTTACATTAGGTATATAAGGTTTCTTCTGTGCTTCCCACTATCAGGGTTACATTTTGAAGAAGCCATCCAATAAACCATAGCGAATAGTTAGCCTTTAGAATACCCTAGCGATAAATCACCAGTCAGTATGCCACCTGGGACTAAATCCAGCTTCTCAGTTTAAACACTATTTGCTTTAGTTCTCTTATGTGTAGTCAAAAAGGAATACAAGTAAAAAAAGTAATCCACCAGATCAAAGTACTTGCTATTTATGTCTGAGGTAGGAAAAAACCAGGTAAGAAACCAAGAACTTTTTTATGTCTGAGACCAAATTCTTTTGTTCAGGAAGAGGCTCTGCCTTTAGTAAATGGTAGGCAGACATGTGTTATTCATCTACTAATAATTGCCTTTGATAACAAACTAGACTTCTGATGTCCATTGGTGACTGAAATGGTGAAAGAATTTTGGAAGTCTATTATAGTTGAATTTTGCCACCTTTGCATCAGAGAACTGGAGTTTAACCAATAGTTTCCCATGTTTCATACTCAGAGCTTAGGTCCACAGTCAAAGGTAGATAAAATAAATAATAGATACATAGATAAAATAACATTAGTAAATAGATAAAATAACTAGTATCATATGTGCATATAGATACATACACATATATATACACACATATTATATATATATATATATATATTTCAGTAGTGTCTTACGCTTTGTGATCCTAATAGGGTTTTCTTGGCAAAGATACTAGAGTGGTTTGCCACTTTCTTCTCCAGTTCATTTTACAGGTGAAGAAACTGAGACAAACAGGGTTAAGTAACTTGTCCAGGATCATATAGCTAGTAAGTATCTGAGATCAGATTTGAACTCAGGAAGATGAATTTTCCTGACTCCAGAGCCAGCACTTGATCCACTGTGTCACCTAGCTTTCGCACCCATACACACACACACACACACACATGTTTCTATGTGTATATATGTATATACATATACACACATATATATCTGTAATATGGCTATATTATATACAGCACTTTAAAGTTTGTAAAGCACTTTAAAGTTTGCAAAGCACTTTACAAATATTCTCAGTTTAGCCCCACAACAACCCTGAGAGTTACGTGCTGCTGTTATCCCCATTTTACAGATGAAGAAACTGAGGCAGATACAGGTTGACTGGCTTGTTCAGGGTCATTTAGCTAATAAGTGGCCAAGGTGACTAGGCTCAATGCTCTAACCACTATTGTTATAACCAACCAACCTACCTATCTCTTACTCAGAAAACATATCATTTTTTGGTTATTTCTTTATGATTTTTAGAATCAGTTAAATCAAGTACTAGTTTATCCTTGGTTGGTTTTTAATAGAATAACTGTAGTTGTTCTATAGCCTGATGTCTCTGTGTTATGTTGATCAAATGAAGTAATATATATATGTGTGTGTGTGTGTGTATATATGCATATATATATATGGATTGCTTACAAATATAAGCTATCAACACCAGCAGCAGCAACAGCATTTGATGTTACTAACAAGTACTAAAAGACTCTCATTAAAAGTTGGTTTCATCTAGAAGGCATGTCATCTCTAAGCACAGATCCTGAGGAAGGGGTCCAATAGAACTGCCACTGGACTGAATGTCACAGGTTCTGCTGAAAGGGATCTAGAACTCTCTATGGGGCAGGGGTGTGAGGAAGAGGAAGATGACAAGCTCTGCTTGGTCAAAATTTCAAACCAGGTAGAGAGGAAAATATCAGGTCATACTCTTATAAACAAAGGAAAACAGAAAGAGATGTCAGCTGTTAGTGTTTGCCATCATAGAGAACCGTCAAGCAAAACATGCTTTGAGGGTCCCTCGTTGGCCTTAAGAATGAGTTCTCATGTGTTTGTTGTTGTTGTTCAGTCATTTTCGGTTGTGTCTTACTCTTTGTGACCCCCATTTGGGATTTTCTTGGCAAAAATAGTGGAGTGGTTTGCTATTTCCTTCTCCAACTCATTTTTACAGGTGAGGAAACTGAGGCAAACAG